GATCCTTTTGTTGCATACTTATATATTGCTTATGTATTGTCTGTGAATTGCTACTAACGTTTTGTTTGGCTAGTGCATAGAGATGCCGTCGTATGTCGTGTATAAGGGTAAGGTTCCCGGAGTCTACGACAACTGGGAGGAGTGTCGGAGACAGGTTCACCGTTTCAGCGGTAACAGTTACAAAGGGTACACCACTAGGACGGAGGCGGAATCTAGATACGCGCGCTATCTAGCGGGAGAGAGGAGGGAGCGGAGGAGGAACCGGATAAAGACCAGTTTCATCGCGATGATGCTCATCGTGATGACCGCAGCTCTCTTCTATGTGATGGTAGTTTAGATGATCGATATCGACTTATAATGTGAAGACAAACTCGCTACTCGCGGTCTCGAGACTTGTAATGTTCTATCTTTATTCAGTCTTTTGAATTCGGAGACTAATATGATGAATTGTATTCGGAGACTAATCTTCTATTGTATTCGATGAATCTGCTGTTGCTATGTGGTGTTGTCTATATTCTGTCCAATAATATATTTTGTAACCTGTGCAAATATCATAAAAGAAAAAATCCCTAATATTCATACTAGTGGCGCACCACCAACTAGTGCACCATTAGTGAGCCAGAGCACACTAATGGCGCATCATCAACTAGTGTGCCATTAGTAAGCCAGAGCACATGGGTAAATATGGCCCCCTGGGAGGCATACTAATGGCGCACTGCGTGGTGCGCCATTAGTATACCAGATACTAATAGTAAAAAAAATTAATGGCGTGATGCTAGTGGCGCACCTGTAGTGCGCCATTAGTAGCCAAAACAGGTGCGCCACTAGCAGGCCTTTTCCTAATAGTGTATGCGGTAACCCGAGAAATAGAGGAGAGAGGCGTGAGATATTTTCGGGGAGAGGAAGAAGCCTTGATTTCTCTGGAAGAGATAAGATTGAGAGGAAGACATGGGCCAAGGTGGCACATGGCAGACGGTAGAGGCGGTTGACGTTCGCGTGAGATCCACCGGCGAAAAGGAAAGCAGGAGAAAAGAAAGGGTGGAGATTCAATGCTCTGAGTTATGATAAATCAACAGTAGAGATTAACATATCAACATACCCCTTGAGTACGCAAGAAAAGTTCAATCCATGTCATGACCTAAGAATCTACTCCCTCTGTCCCATAGTATAAGAACGTTTTTCAACTTTTGTTAGCTTGAAAAACATTTTTTTTATTATGGAAAAGAGGGAGTGACCGGTCAATGCCCGTGGGCGCGTCTGCAGGTGTTTGAGAGATTGGATTGTCCGCGACTATAGATGCTCTAAGCCAGTGGAGGGAAAGCATAGGTTGCAAGATTTCTTGATTAATGAGCAGAAACACGCTATGCTCAGCAAGAGTCTTGTGCTCGAATACCCGTCTGTTCCTTGCCTTCTCAGATATTCCAGCTGGTGTAGATGTGGCCTTCTTGCAGGGAGGACAGATCAGATCATTCCACCAGGAGGTGATGGAAGTTGCATACATTGCAGCCATGACCAGGCCGGAGGTATCATGGGAGCTCTCCACCGGGTGCCACGCAAAGCGCGAGAAGGGGCGTTGAATGATAAGATGAAAGGTAGAGTCGTCGACCTGGACTTTCTTTAGCACTGCATGCTGAAGTCTCAAAATGTTTGTAACGCTAGAATTATTTCGGTAGCTGATGATTTTGAGGCTATTTCCTTTTCGAAACGGTGTTTTTTGGGTATTTGATGATGATGATGCTAAGCTGCAAGACTGGGCTCTATGCTACATGGCCTTTTGTGAATTCTTTGATTAAAGTCGTCTTCCTCTGCTTCTCCTTTACTTTACTTCTTCCTCTCTTGTCAGCAACTGATCGATGTGCTTCTGAGTTCTGACCATGGTGGCTACCGTGTTTCTGAATGCAAACCTATCGAGAGATTTATGCAAAAACCAAAGACAAAGATTTAGGGAGCGTTCAGTTCCTCTCGGCTCCTCGTAACTCCACTCCCGAAGCGGACCACACTTCAGCTCATTTTAACGGAGCTGTCAAAACCGAGCTCCACCAACTCCATTCCAAACAGGGCCTTAGTTAAGCATTTGCATTCCCTATTTCTGTTATCAGTTTCTTAGCAGTGATGGACTACTATTTGACTGATATTTGGGCGCTTTTTTAACAAATCAAAAAAAATTAAACTGCTTCATCCAACTTCTAATTGCTATCGAGCATCTTCAACAGACGCTCAATGCGCGGCGCCCAAAAAACGGGTTTACAACGCGCAAGCATATTTTTTTAGGGCGCTAGAAGACGTTTGCTTCAACAAACGCTGCAAAATATGTTGTGCGTGCGAGTCCAATGGTCCCAATCAAGCGGTCCCATCTGCAGCAGCCCAGAGTTTGCAGCGCGCGAATGACCGGGCGCACTAAATATGCTGCGCGCGATGCCTTTTTGATGCGTGTGCTGCATTAATTATAACACACGCGCGCTTTTTGTGCGGCTGCTGGAGATTTCAAACCGGGTCCCCGCGCGCTAATAGTAATTTTTATACCGCGCGTCGTTTATATAACGCTTCTGTTGGAGATACTCCAGGCGCTTTTCGTTTCGTTTTCACTGAACCATCAGAGTAGTTCACTTGGTGATCCATGATTTGACTGCTTTCATGGAAGCAATTACTATTGCTAGCTACTCCGTCGACTGTACAACAATGGAATTCATCTTTCAGCCGGCGTCGAGGAAGAAGGCCGCCACGGCAGCCCACTCGTCCAGGAACCTCTCCTCGACGCCGTCCTTGAGCAGCGCCGGGAAGAAGAGCCAGAACGACGTGCCCGCCACGAACAGCCCCACACCCACCGTCGCCACGGCGCGCGGCGGCCTCCTCGCCGCCCACCGCCGCGCGCACCACCCCTCGGCGACGCAGCAGGCGCCGTGGAGGGCGAAGAAGGCGGCCATCCCGCCGCCGGGCGGCCACCGCAGGCTGAGGTAGCACACCATGGCCTCGTGCATCGCCCCGGACACCGCAAACGAGGCCAGCACGCCCGCGGCGCCCCCCGCGCGGGCGCGCACGGGGTCGTACACCGACGGCCGGAGGATGGCCGACACCATGAGGTTCCACCGCCGGCCCCAGAAGTCCCGCAGCAAGGAGGCCAGGTACGGCCGGTCGAACTGCGGCTCCGTCTCCATGCCGAGCGCGGGCGCGGCGGCGGCGATGCAGGGGAGGAGCAGGTCCAGGAAGCAGTAGGTGTGGACGCCGTACAGCGCCAGGCGCGCGTAGAGGTGCAGCCGGGCGTTGAGCCGGTAGAGGCCCACGAGGGCGGCCATGACGGCGGCCTTGACCGCGCAGGAGGCGAGCGAGGGCGCCGCCTTGGCCTCGGACATTGCTCCAGCGGCGCCGCCGCGGCGGAGCTTGACGGGGAGCAAGGCGGTGAAGAGGAACGGGAGCACGGGGAGGGCGGGGTCGAGCGGGCCGCGGCCGGCGGCGAGGAGCGCGACCTTGAAGGCGCCGAGCCAGGCGAGGAAGAAGGCGGCGACGCCCCGGACGATGGCGGAGGAGGCGAAGGCCAGCGGCGCGGCGGCGAGGAGCGGGAGCCCGGGCCGGAGGAGCGACGACGCGGCGCGCGCGTACAGCGCGGCCGCCGCGACGGCCACGGACACCGCGGGAGCTCCATGGCCAGCGCGCTCGCGACCTGCCGATGCCACGGCATGGTGGTAGAGTGCGCGAGCAGAAGAGCCTGGCGTTACCTCGTCTTATCGACATTGACAGAGGAGACATATCTAAAGGGGGCGTACATGTGCACTCTGATCCCGACTAACAAGACTCGTCTGACACTGCTTACATATCAAGTGTACTTGAGTTGCCTACCACCACCTCCCAACGACCAGCCCCTGATGGACACGCCATCGCAGATGTTCCCTCCGAAATGATGCTTCCAACTAAGCAGGGACGCCAATCGTCAATTCAACAAGGCGGATCTGGGTATTCGCCCGGAGAAAGGAGAGAAAGATCATAAGAGCAGCAGATCAGGCCTGGCACCCGAGCCCCAACACCATAGCGCAGGACACCACACCCAACCGCAGCACGATGATATGCGATACTCCCACCCTTTCGTCAAACCCTAGCACTAGGGTTTGTTAGCTAGGAGTTGGATCGCCTCCACCCAAGCAACCCGAGAGGCAGGCAAATCAAACTAGTTTTTATTCAAAACACAAAATCATCGATTTTTATTTATTTATTTATTTTTGAACCTGGAACATTTCATTCCACACCTAAACCTGCACAGTTTAAAAGTGAATAGTGACTGTTCACCGCTTTCAAAATCACGAAAAGTGTCCTTTTTTGGCGTAGCTCACGTGGTAAACACATATCATGGTCAAACTTTACGCACGTGTAGAATACATCCTTACAAATATGTGGATTCTTCTTCTTCTTCAAATTAACGAGCTCCAAAAGCAATTTCCGAACTACTGTAGACCTTTCAGGCAGAATGCATCAAATCAGGTGACCAAAAGGCAAAAATCATATACTACATCAATCAAGCAAGACTGCTATCGTAATCTACTGCCAAAACCAAGCAACTTCAGTGCTACTCAGAAAAGGGGTGCAAGATGGACATGCAAAGTTTTTTTTAGGGAAAGATGGACATACAAAGTGGACATTATACAAGACTTAAAACAACAAAAATTACATATCCACAAATCCACCGAGTTACGCAAGTCATTTTTCATCAACAAATGGTATCTTTCTGAATTGGCTACTCTCAGTCAAAGTACAGCATATGCATCTCAATGCCCATCTAGAGGACACCGGAATTTCCCTTTTTCCTTTTGAGAACATATGCTAGAAATAATTTACATCACATGCCCTCTAGGACCAGTGAGTGTAACACAACAGCTGGTGTATACAGTATGCCTGATTTTCTTTTGCCATACCATCGACAGCTTAAGTGAAAACCGTCGAATTTTACATGAAACATTCTGTCCGTCCAGCACAAGGTTGTGTGGTCGGGGGCACTGGGGAAATTCGTGTCGTTACAACTCTTGCCCATCCAAGTCTGTCCTGACAGGATAGTCGAGGCCCTGCAGAGCGGGCATCCTTCGAAGGTCCTCTTCTGAGTATGCCGGAATGAACCAATACTTTTTGTCGTTTCCGAAGACCTGATAACAAGACCATTGTTTACTAACATAGTTTTGCATGAAAGTAACTTCAGGAATGTCGTTGTTTACCAAGTCTGCTGGTGCTACTATGGCCAGCAAGAAGGAAAATAACAATGGAGAAAGGTCATGTTTCAGATGTTGAAGGTCATAAATACGGACATGATCAAGGACATGCAGTTTCCATATTTTGCCCCCTTGATTATATTTGGGCATCACAGTCCATGTACAGAACAGAAATAAAATATAAATGCTAGAGAATCCCAAGTAAAATAATATTGATATGGTATGTTGCACATATGTATCATGAACCCGGCAGAACTGCCTGTGAAAGGGCACACTCAAGGTTTATGAAACTACAACAAGAGAATATCATGGAATATCCCAACATGATCGTTTATCAACCACAAGTGCTAGATTCTGGTTTAATAAGGAAATTTAACTTCCATTGCTTAATCTTCTTCCGCAGTTACCAAAGTTCTATGTATTAATACATGCCCCATGGAAATTTCAGGTTATGCCATTACAAACCTTGTTATAACAATGTGCTCAGCTCACATAATGATTATTTAATCATCTCTACGAAAATATTATGTGATAATGACTACTGAATATGAGTTGAGCCTGAGCTACCATTAATATCTGAATCCACACGTAGTCATCGTATTTATAGGAAGTTTAAACTTTAAAGTCACCTCAACAAGACAGGTTTATCATTTTCTTGAAATAAAACTAATTTGACACATACTAGCACCATAGAAAATTATCCAGATGACTATGAAAAAATATAGTTTTTTATAAACCTGACCTGAGCAAAATTCTTCTTCCGGCCAAGATCATACATCCAACGTGGACTAGTTTTCTTCTCATATGCCTGAACAACAAAGTAACAAATTGATTTCATCATGATATAACAAACAATAAACTTTAACATTATATTACAAGATACTTGCCTCAATCGTTGTTGTATTACCAGAAACAAGTGAAATGTGCATTATCATAAAACCCAGAACGCTCAAGGAAAAGGCCAGATTCAACACTGCAAGAAACATCATAGTTTTAGTGGATGTTCAATCAATCACGCTGAAAGCATACTTTTCTTTTCCAAAAAGTAGTAATGCATTTACCAAATGTGAGAAATGTGGTTGCAAGTGCTGAAGGAGTTCCTGGGATCTCGACATCACTGAAGAAGGCTATGAAGTGAGGCAATAAAGAGAGGGTAACAAGCGATGTCTCAAGGAAGGTGTAAAACTGCAAGCACCATAAAAACAAACAGATTTATTTGTATAAGAAAACTAATGATCAACATAGCAGCATGGAAGAGTACACTGTTTCAAAACAAGTCCCAGATAAGTACTGAACAAGCAGTCCTTGTACTGTACTATAATAAAAAGACCACCGAACACACATGCTGCACAAATGAGATGACTCTTTAAGTAAAGAAGCAAGGTCTTAATATTTCAATTTATATGAATGAACGCGGATTTCCAAAACACAAGTTAATCAATTTCACTTAATAACTGTATGATACATGTTGTTAGCATGATGCATGAGGACAAACTGAAGGCCTACTATACAATACAATAGGGTAAAGAAAGAACCTCATGCATTGAACTCTAGGATACAGTTTTACTCATTTTTAGTTGAGATGGCTTGCATTGTCATGCTCAAATGGTCCTAAATTAACTACTTGGAGTCAACTGTATCATCATTTGCACAATCCAAATCCATCCCAAGCAAGGGAAACATCACAATTTAGGTCAATTTATTGCTCTACAAAAGGTTAAATTCGTTGCTTTTGAAAGTAACAACTACTAGCATAATGGGAGGGGCGTTTTGGCTTTGGGGTCCAAATGCATCCTATATCCTGGACGTCCAATTGGTCTATGGGATCTGTGCCAGCATTTATTCAGTGTGACATACAGAACTGTTGGATCTGGAATACAGGGGACGCAGGCGTACATACGTAGCGTACTAGGAGAGAGGCTGCAGACGGGAAACGAACGGCGTCACTGGTTTAGTCATAAAGGTGGGCCGATTGGACCTTGGCAAAGCATCGACCTGCAGCTCCACCTGGAAGGATACGAAGTGAATGCGGCTCACCAACCAATTTGCTGACCCAAATAAAAAAAACAGCAATTTGCCGACCAAAGCGTCATGCGGTGGAAACAATTGAAATGCTGAAGAGGCCAAAAGTATAGATATGGACGCAAAGAACTATAACCCCAGTCATTTAGAGACAGGGGAGGAGTTTCCGGCGGTGCGGCAGTTTTCAGTCGATCCTGTGGACAAGTAACTCTCCAGGATCAGATGCTTTATTTTGAATGACAGGTATGTCGATTCGGAAGCTCAGCTGCCTTGCATCCAGGTTGCTGGTCTTATTAGATGAGGCCGAAAGTGTAGCGGTGGTGGGTGGACTGCAAGATGATGCAGAGAGGACCACAAGGCTATTTGCGAATGGATTGCACGGAGCAGGTGTGGCGGTGGCGGAGCCTTGGTTAGGAGATTCTGCAGACAGCTCGTCAAGGTTGCCACGCAGTAGACACGGCGAGTGTAGGGGATGGAGATCTACGGCGGGCCGGCGTACAGCGAGAGCTAAGTAGACAACGGGTATGTCATGGAGGAAAATGCAGGTCAATGAGCTGTGGCAGCAGACCAGCTTGCTGTGATTCAGGAGCGGTGCCGACAGAGCATCCGCGCAGTCGACGGGGAAATTGATTCACAAGCAGTTGACAAAAAGGTAATAGTTGATAGACATTTTGCTTGGTATCCAAAGTTGGGTGCTCAAAATTAAAGCGGTTGGACATCCGAAGATTTTGTGGATTGAAGTAGACTGTAAGTGTACTGAAATTATTATGTATACGATGTCCATGAAGTGTCCAATTCTGTTGCTGAAATCATGTTAGATAATTAATCAGTGCTTAAATCTTGACAGAATAATGGTGTGACGCATTTAGGATATACCACAGCTGCAAAAGTGGTTTGCAGGAGCATTATGGATTACTACTTGCATAGATGTATGATTTGTTGCTGGTGGAATTGGTATGTCAACTGATATCTGAAATTATCAATTTCAGGCAATGAAATTGGGAGTTTTGAGCTCCTTCAGTCCAAAAAAAAAACTGGTATCTGAAAATTATTTTATGCAAGCGAGATCGTGTAATGGCAAGGCTTTTTTCTATTTTCTGGGTAATAACTTTGTATGAATTTCACTTGGATGATTTTTTGAATTGCTTGATCGAAAGTGTGTGACTGCATGATGGTCCCGGAGTGATTCTATGACTTAATTACAGTGACAAACAACGTTAATGTTCAGGTGTACCATCTAGATTGATAAAAATGGGTTCAATTAATCAGACATTATAGAGTTTGCATAAGCACAAGCAGGTGATACACATCCAGCGCTGTGGACGTCCGGTACGTTCAATGTGACGGAACAAGAGGCCACAACCGTCTGGACGAGTGGTTCAACCATTCTGAAGCAATAAATATGAGGTTGCAGGCGTGGGCCATGTATCTGGCGGAAATGAGTTAAAACAGGCGAATACTGAACCAAATACACAGACCAACACGGATCTCTATGCATCTGGACAGCGCAGATTTCAGGTCCAGGTGAGCTCGAGAGCCAAAACCAATTTCCATAACATAATACACTATAATAAATTTAATTTGACTAGTGGAAGAATCATTTTACTAATTACTAATTTGACTAGTGAATCTTGCATTTCAAGTTATCAAGGGAGTTGGCTAACTGCTTGCTAAGCTAATCAAGCAATAACCTGGCTGACAAGGGGACTAATTATGCACAGATATATGGAGGAGGGGGTGTGGCAGAGAGTACAGTACTGACAGGAGCCATGAGGCATGGACATGTGACGAGGTGTTGCATTGTTCAGTACAGTAATCAAAGGAACCATGATGCAATGATCTGTTAAGAAACTAATAATTTGCATTTGATGCCTTTAATCATTGCTGTACTTACATAGAAGAAACTAAGAATACAGGAAAATGCCGAACCCCTGATGTCTAATATCTATTCGGAATGCATAACAAACTGTATATTAAAACCCCATAAAAATAACTTTATTTCTAAATGCGTTTACAACAGGATCATCCAAAAGCAGAAACTATTTGTAGTATCAATGATGAACTAAGTAAGTGGTTGACACACAAAATGCCATAATTTTTTTCCTTAAAGCTTCAAAATTTGCACAGGAAAAAGGAAATCAGTTTCTCAATTCAAAAGGTATGGTTAAAGTATCACCAAATATTGCATATCTACATACATGATAAGAAAGAGCAACTAGTTCAGAGGTAAAAAAATAATTTAAAAACAAAAGCTTAACTAATCTGCCTTCCAAAGAGGACCATCATTGTCTCAAGGATAATAAAATCATACCAGGAAGAGAAGAAAGTATTTATAGTTCAGCGCCCCAACACAATTAACAACCCATACACAGTGATGGTCCATCTTAAGGATACACCTTCCACCTGAAAAACAATTTAGGCCTAGATAAGCGGTACGATGCAGAATATGCAATTAGTAATAATAACTGGAATAACATAGCATTCATCCTGAAGAATAAATTATGAACAACTTACAGACAGAGCAATGATGGCACCGAGGGGGCTTCAGTTGGTTGCACTTCCTACAGTACCTCATCCTCGGATTTCCCGTATCACCGAGAGCCATAGACTGCTGTGGGTTCATTTGGCTATTGAAGTCTGAGCTAGAGAGCGGAGCAGTTTCTCCCCTTTCCTCGTCAAAATCAAGGTTCCAATTTGGCGGAACAGAACCAGGGTCGGTGAAGACAACAGAGAAGTAGCTCCATAACAGCATAGCAAGCTGCAAATTCAAAAGAACCGTGCCATTAAAACACTGACAAAAGCACACGCAGGCCATGTCTTAAATCGCAAGATAATGCCACTAGCATTCACAGCCATGTAATTCTGCGAAGAAGCAGTTCATGTTGTGGCTCAATAATCCAATAGCATTCAAAATGCATTGGATCAGCCCAATATAGCATCTTTTCAGAACTTCTCTCATTAGGAAGCGTCCACATCCTACAGAGATCTACTATGCTCCCACAGAGCATATGAGGAAAACAAATGTTAATCAGCGCGCCTGCAACTAGCTACATACCAAGAAGTACCACCTAGAGAAGCAAATGTTAAGAAGAAACTAACATCGGACTGGCACAGAAAGATGTCCCACAAGGCAGCATAGCATGCCTGCATCAGCAACCCAAGAATATGCTCCTGGGCCCCAGCATAATGGTCAAAATAGAAATTTTTCTACCTATGCATACCAAACATTGATTTCTGCAAATTAAAAAAAAAACATTGATTCCTGAAGAACTAGCATAGCGTAGCGATGTTAAGAAGAAACTAGCATAGCATACGAAGATATATATGCTAAAAGGCAGCACGGTGCCTGCATCAACAATCCAAGAATATGCCGCATTCAACATCGTAGCTCCCCAAAATCGATCGATTTCACCCATGTAGGAAACATTGCTTTCTGAAGAACCAAGATTTTAACAGCTAACGACGACTCCCAATCCCGCCGCAAATTCGCATCGTTTCCGGCCCAGCCAGACGGCGAATCTCCGGCCTAAATCACGAAATCGCCGGGACCGCGCGCGCCAGGAAGCGAAATCGCGAAATACGCCCCGCCCCGGGTCGAGAGCGGCACGCACCAGGAAGTGGAAGAGGAGCAGCACGGCGAGCGCGGCGAGGGTGGCGCCGCCGCCGAGGAGGAGGGCGGGGCCGTAGTTGCAGAGGACGACGGCGTAGTAGGTGACGCCGACGATGGCGAGGACGAGTAGGATCATGATGGAGCCCAGGCCCCGGAGCGCCGTGCAGAACCGGAAGACGTTCCACGCCATCGCGACCCCCGCCGATCTGTGCATGTCTCCCCGCTCCGCCCCGCCGGCGCCGGCGCCGGCCGCCTCCGCGTAGCGGCTGGGTGGGGTCAGCTTGAGGGCCGGGGGGTGCACCACCGCGACGGCCGCCTCCGCCGGAGGGGGGGAGAGGGGCGTGGGTCGCGGTGCGGGAGGAGGATTTGCAGATAGGAGGAGGAAGGGGGAGGGAGAAGGAGGAAGAAAGGCGATGGTCAGAGATGGAGTCCGCACGGCCTTCTTCCACGCCGCGTTGTCACTTTCCTTTACCAATTCTACTTTTATCTTTTTTATTTGTTAATAAAAAAAGTAAACTTTTTTCCTGTTCAATGTTTTGACACAACACAAAACCTTCTTTTTAACACGGTACAAACGCAAGCGCCTCATATATAGGCCCATACACCCAACCCTATGAACGGGCATACTCACGACCTATGAGACTAAGCCGATATATCATCTAGTCGATGGGAATGCCTCCTCCCACCGAGCGCACATCACCAGAATTCTTGAAATAAATCTAGGAAAATGTGAGCATCGGGATTTTTTGAACCCTGGTGGGTTTGGGATATCACTGTCCCCCTAATCATCCAACCACATAAAACCTTGTGGTGTTATTTCAAAGTTCAAGACAACATACTTTAGCAAAAAGGGGAGGATTTTATACGTCGTTCGCCATGTGGCATAAACGGGTGAACGTCGATCTTCTTGTTGCGTGGACGAGGTGCAAACGTGCCGACATGAGGGCGTAGAGAGGAGTAAAAGACGAGTTCATTTATTGGTACTAGAAGAACGCCCGTGCGTTACAACGGGACCACATTAACTTATAATAAGCAGGAAACATTAAAAAATAGGTCTCTGATTCCAGCTAGTGCTTCTCCAAATGAATGTGTCACTCAGCTGAAGAACTACCAAATTACGACCAATGCCAAAATTTGGGTTGCATCATCTAAACCAGGCTAAAAAAATTTAGTTTACCCATGTGAAATTATGCATCAAATAATCAGGTAAACAAGTATAAAACGACATGCAGATGTAACCTGATCTTTCACCTTGTCGGGGAGTCCCTTCAATCCAAGAATATACAACATCCAGAAGAAATAAAATCAATGTCATAATTAGTAATCATTTTCGCGACAAAAGATAAACAACAATTGGATTTTTAAAACAAAACCTGCAACTACACAAGTATATTTTATATTAGCACAAGTGCAGATCCTGTCTCACTCTTCATTTTGTTCACAAAAAAGTTCAGAATAGCAATCTCGGCGAGCCCTGTGCAAGCATCCCGTGATCTCGGTCGGGTTCGATCTACATGGCACGCTGCCGATTCTTCCAAGAGTGGGCGCTGAAAGGAACGATCCCGAACCTGCATTGTCAATCGGCCAGAGCTGCATCGGCCTTCGGATCAGAGCGTGAACGGGATCGAGACGGTAGGGGTCGAGGAATTTGGAGGAAGTGAGGGAGTAGGATGGGGGCTGCCACGGGTTGTCCTCGTCGCCATCGGCAACTCCGCCACTACAGCACCATGAGCGTGGGATTGAGGAACGAAGGGAAGGGAAGGAAGCGAATTAATGGCGTACCTGATGTTTGGTATGTAATAATCGGGTTAATCACTGTTATAATTCGTTGAGTTTGTTTCCATATATTACACTTTGGCGCTAGGAAGATGGGACTCATATTGTCAAAAAAGAGGAAGTTAACACTGATGGACGAGGAGATCTCTTGCCTACAATTTCAATTACCAATTACCGAATCCGGCTACGCTGATTGCTCTTGATTTATTGAATCAGAACTTGCCAAAATATTTACATGATTGAATTGAATCGATACCTGCCAAAGCAAGCACGAATAAATGGAAGGAGGATCGGACGTGATTCGGTTTTAAGTGGGAAGAAGAAAAAATTAAGATGGGAGGGGTGGTGAGAGATGAGACGAAAATAAACCAAACGAAAAAAACCAACAGAAAAAAAAACCGACGAAACTAAGAGGTGGGATCGTTACTGCGGGGAAATTGAGAGGTGGGAGGGAGGACGAAAACAACCCAGGAAAGGTGGGACGAAAAAAAACCCGTGCGTTGCCACGGGCCAACAAATGAATGTAAATATTGCTTGAGTTTTTGTCCATGAATGCGCATATTGTGTGTGATATTCCATGGGACAACAAACACAAGCATCTTCCTTTCTCTTTTCAACAGACACCATTCACCCCTCTAACAGACCTTTCCATCAAGTTGTTATCGGTCACCTTCTACATCTCTACATCATTCATCTTTCAATTCACTGCCCTTTGACTATGTTTGTGGCTTCTTTGTCGTTGTGTTGCTCTCTAATATATTTGGAACACCAACAACTAATGGTGATTCATAAGGCGCCTCACGTTAGGTCAAAATAATAAGAAAAAAGAATTAAAATTAAATAAGAGAAAGGACTCAGCCAGGAAACATTTGTTCCACCACATCCTCATTTAGTGACTGTATTGAATGATGCTTTGTTTGCCTCCAAACTACACATGGGCTATGCCTTCTTCTCTTTATATTCCCTAAATGCGTTCGGGCGTGTTCGGACATCAAACGGGCGTCCAGCATGCTCCCCAAAATGCGGATAGTATGGCTCACCCAAACCCAGACCATATGTGTGGTGTAGAATGTGGTTATCCAGACTATCCATCACGAAGGAGAGAGGGCCCAACACAAAAGCCCTACCAAAGATGAACCCTTTCCTTTTCCTGCCAGACCCTTCCATTCCTGCTAGGTTTCCCGTTGTAGTGGGACATTTCTCGTTAGAGCCCCCTCCTTTAAAACCGGATGATGTCCACATCTCCTTCACCATGGCGCCCTCTCTTCTTCACACCGTATTCCCCAACGGACCGCCAAGCGCCCCACTCTCCGTCCTGGTTCCATCCCCACAAGTTCGTGCCGATCCGCCACCACTATGAAGGGGAGGAGGTGTGCACCACCTGTGATGCCCATTGAGCCAAAAGCGTAATCTCAACAGTAGAAAACATCAGGAAGGGCATTCAGCATGCACGCAGCTTAATTAGTCCTATCAATATATAACACCAACCAAATCAGATTTTGTTCTACATTGGCACAAAACCTTCTACTAAAAATCAACTAAACAGGAATTTTGCATCCTCTAGTCACCGTGTCTAAAAATCGACATGATTGATTAATTAAGTTGGCAACAATTCAACATGATTGATTAATTAAGTTGGCAGATTGATTTTTAAGATAGTTGGCGGATGATCTCAACTTGCAACAACTGATATATGTGTGTGGCATGCATGCATACCTTGCACCACGGAATAAAAACAAGTAATTTAATTTTTTCTCTAATTAAGAATTGTGTGTCAAACATCATGGCATGTGGTCTCCATTCATGTAGTGACAAACTGATCATCCCTGCTGCAGCTTCCCTCGCATGCAAGCGTTGTGTCTCCTTACACGCCGAAATATTCTTTTGATCTCCTTTCTTGACAATTAGTCAGTTGAAGAGGAAACTTAAGTTAAGTACCTCTCAAAACTATGTAAACATGAATTATGGTGAAATAGAATTACAAAATCTTATTTTTCTAAAAAAATAATACTTTCAATCTGTATATACTGGCCCCAAACCCAAAGGAAAAATAAAAGATCTACAGAAGATATATATCAACTTCAAAAAATCTGAACTTCAGGCCAGGTCACAAAATTCTAAAAATATAAACTCAAAATCTAGTGCCAAGAAATTTGTAATCCTTAATTTACACTCTTATACAGACCAAAGCATATGATTTGATCACCTCCAAGTTTCAATTTTACCTTTAGCCAAGACATGCTTTCTTCATGTAGATGCACGGACCAAAGCTCGAAGCATGACTAAAAATCAAGAGCAATATGATGAGTTAGAAATTAAGTAGGACAATTAACACATGGCTAACAAAAAAGGATGATGAATGAAAAGGACGATGCCGCACTACTGTCACACAGAATATGTAAAGTTCTGGTCGTGTATGTGTTGTTAGGTCAGCATAGATGTCACAATATTTGTTTGACACTTTCAGCTTGTAGTTCATTAGAATTAGCCTGAAACCTTAAAGTACAGAACAATTCAATATAGTGCAGAGCCTGCTTTCCAAAGGTATGCACATAATTGTGGATTCTATGTTTTCAAAGTTTCATCCACGTTTTTTTTCTAAACTTTATTGGCCATATTATGATCTTAATATCAGTGTCAGTTTGTCACCAATGAACTTTCGTTAGTAGACCACTTACATACATAACTGTGACATGTCAGAGCAGAAGCAGAGCACTTGAATATCAGCGTCAGTTCTTGCTTCTAAACCATCAAGTTTAGAAGTAGAAGAATGGTTTATTCATTATGGATGATCATGATTCCCAATAGCA